AGTATCTGGTGAGTCCCGAAGAATATGAAAAGGCTCGCTTCAGTGGCGCGAAAATTAAAAAATTAAAAAACAAGCAGCAAGCAAGCAGTCCAGGACTACCCCAGACCGACTCTCAGTCCGAGTCCCAGTTTGAGTCCCAGTCCGAGTCCTGTGTTAAGCCAAATGAATGAGGCTTCCGCAGACTCCTTGGCTTAAGCCGGATAACTTGAAATAACTTAATCAAAAAAGCGGCAGAAAATGATGTGCAAGAAAACCAAGTTTGTAGAGTATAAATTGTGTGAATTTTGGTTAACACTAAAAGCAATTTTGTATATATTTTTTGTGGGTATATTTCGGTTTTTTTTTTTTTGCTTATAAATAATTATTTAATGGATTTTTATAAAAAGAACAAAAGTATATTTCGTTATTAAAGTTTTGCTTGCATATATTTTTGTGGGAATATTTCAGTTTTTTATGGTTTATAAATATTTATTTAAATTATAGAATTTGAATAGTTATAAAAATAAAAAAGAAACCCAAAAGCATTTTAATAACTATAAAAGTAATTCACTCGACAGAAATAAAGATATAGGATATATAGGTAGAAAATAAAGAGTTTCTTTTCTTGTAATTATATAACTTTGAAAGTAAAATAAGTTTTAGTCCAAGAAAATTGTATTTAAAAAGTTTGAGAAAAATTGTAAAAATAAATATAAATTTTTTAGAAAATTTGGACTATTATTTATATCGCCGAAAAATCCTTAACTGGCTTCTGAAATATAATTTAACTAATATTAATAGAAGCAAAGTATTGCAACATTTTAAGATATATTCCGTTTATTCTGTCTAAAAGTGCAAAAATAAAAGAAAATTTTGAGAATAGTGTTTGTAAAGTAAAATATAGACTATTTGCTATTTTATTTTTTTAAGGGAAAGGCTGGTATTTTTTGTACACTTGGCAAATTTTGGAATATTTTTGATAACATTTTTATTTGTATTTCTTTTTTTTTAAGTTTTTTTGTGATTATCTGCATTTTATAGACACCAATTTGAAAGGATTTTAAAACCATTGCGACTTTTGAGGCCCTCCCGATACTCGCCTATTTAAAGAGCATTATATTTTTGGTCTCTCAGTTGAATACCTTATCTTTAACACTCTGAGCACATAATAGGATTCGACTGGCCCGCCTGGTGCTGTCTTGCAGCATATATTTCTATATTTCTCGGTCCGCTGGGCGGTTGATGGACCGTGGGAAATGCGCAAATAAAAAACCAATCCCAGCATCCAACAAAAATAAAAAAAAAAAAAACTGAAACCAGAAAAAGAAAATCTCACACAACCAGCAAGCAGCATCAGAGTGTGCACTGTTAACTTTATGGCAAAACCAGGAACGATGATGAATGCCAAAGTTGAGATGAATGCAATCCCGACCTTGTGAATGCCCTGTGCTGGAGCTTTATTAAATTGTATTTAATACAAAAATAATAATAATAAAAAAAAGGGTTAAAAATCCATATTCGATCTACAAATTATTTTTTTTAGAGAGGAGGTCTGACCATGTACTCATAAGCTTTCCGTTTACAGCAAGAACCTGTTGGGAATTCTAAGCTTGATTGAGTTATATTTACATTTTATGGTTGCATTGGTGTTTATTCACATAAAATTTATTTTTTATTATATATTATCTATTATTATAGATTATGAATATTAATATAATATTTAAATAAAAGTCTTTTTACGTTTTTTTTTTTTAACAATAAATGTTTGTAATTATAAAAAAAAATTGAGAGGTTCCTAACTTTAAAACTGAGAGAACATATATTTCATACATTGCATATTTCGTAAAATATATATATCTTTCCTTTGAAATTTACCTTAAAATATGCATAAAGTGAAAATTCCTTGAGCTTTTTAATGAGAAAACAACATTAGTTGCGCGCCAGCGGTTATTAGCTTAAATTAATGCTGTATATTTATTCGCCAAGTGAATAATTACCTCTCCAAACAAGCTCAAATTCTTGCTATTAAGAGCAGTTAGCAAAATATTATTTCCTCTTTCTTTTTTTTTTTCCTTTTTGCTGGGAATATTATTATTCCCACGCTTTCCCAAAAGCATTTTCCCCCAGAGGATGGGGAGACAACGTAAACAAACCGCCACTATCGCCCCGCTGTTTGCTAACACACGTTTAAATTATGGCTTCGCCCCGGAAACTTCTGTGGCCAATGTGAAACGTGGTCCTGTGTCCGGAGCCCGGACTTTCTTGCTTCTGGTCCTGCTCCTGCTCCTTGGCCGTCTCCCATGCTTATTTCCTCAATAAATAGCCGCTTTGATGAGTGCGCGGATCCCATAAAAACCAGCAGTCTTAAATGAGAGCAGCAGAGAGCAAGCACTCCAGGGAGTAGTTGTTGCTGACATGGACCAGGTGGCTAGCGCGCTCCAGTTGGGGCATAAGATTAAAGTGGCCCCGACTCCGGTCTTTCCTTTTCAAAAAAGCACAAATTTCAACAAATAACCCAGCTAGAACAGCAGAAAAAGGGGAGGGGCAGCAGGAGCAGAAGCTGGAGGAGTATCTGCTGCCGCATCCATCGCCTTCACGTTGCGAAATAACTTTTGGCAATAATTTATCATCTGCAATCTCTTGTTTAACTTTACTCGTTAAGAACAGAATTGGCTCAGAATACTCGCGGATACAAAAGGAATAATATAATTAATGGCCGTAAAGAGCTCTTTCTAATTTTTAGATAAGCATACAAGTAAAAGCCGCATATCATTTACATAAAATAACATCAATTTAATACAAAGTTATGTGGAATAGAAAAAAAGTATATATAAAATATAGAAATATATGGTATATAATCCCCTTAAAAACCAGATACACCCCATTTACCATTACTGAAATACCCTGCACTTTGTGCGTAAACATTGCAATTTGCGCAACATTGCCTACTTCTCGGCGGCTGCGTACAGGGAATATTCTATAAATAAATTAAAGTCTCTCCGGCGTTCCCAATTTCTGGCCAGAAAATGGCTTTAAAATGCGTGAGTGTGGGGAAAAACCTTGCAGAAATGTAAGGAATCTCTAATCTCCACTCCGCTTTTTTCAGTTTCTTGCGTTATTATTATTATTATTTTTTTTTTTTTGTTGTCCTGGCTCAAAGGACGTTGGCGCCGAAAATTTGAAGCAAACCTTATTTGCGTGGGTTACAAGGGTCTGTGCATATAAAACCTCGTTTTTTATTAATAAATGAAGAGCATAACACACTGAAGACCCCCAGCATTCCCTACCCCATCGTTATACTTTTTTTTTGTGTTCCTTTATCTCGCATTGTACAAGGGTATATGGCCCTCATGTCAGAGAGAAGGAAACATTGCCGACCCTATAAAGTATATGTATGTATTCTTAATTAGAGTCGAGATACACATGTCCATCGGCGTCTAGGGGACTTACTTTGTGAAAGTTTACTTATTATATTTATTTTCCGGAAAGTAAATTCTGGCATAAAGAGCCCGCAGATCGCATGAATTTTCTTATTTTAAAGGATTTGTTATGCAAATTCTCTTTAAATATTTACATAATCTTAAGCTCTAAGTAGAGGTTTTAAATTGTTAATTAAGGTCTCAAATATTTTTGCATATTAGTATTTTGGTTTCACTTTCATCGTTTCAAAATTATGAAAGTGATTATCTATAAGCACACAAACCTTTCAAAATGCATCTAATATTCCACCCCTCAAATCCTAGAAGTAACTAATCTGTTAGTAATACGTATATAAATATGTATATGTATTTTATAATATTAGTTTAAAGCTTTCACGCCGCTTTATTTGTATAGAGTAATAGTTTTGGCTTTGACTTACCCGCTGTAATTTTCTAGACCTGATCGCTTTTACGGCTTACCCGCAGTAAAGGACACAATGTTACCTTTGATCTTCACTCCGCAGACTTGGCTGAGATTCATTCCTTTGATTGCAGAGATTCTTGGTGTTTGTGCATGAATATAATATGAACTTGCACTTTTCCAGCAAAGCCATACTTTTCCAAGGGTCTTCCAGAAGCGTGGAGATGCACCCGGGACAGGTGAATGCGAGGGGAGGCGCACACTGACTTAGGCGGCGGCGGCGGAGGGGCCTCTATTTATAGGTAGCTAGAGAGAGAGGTTGATATGTTTCTCTCTATCTCTATCTCACTATGTTCAAGTTTTTATCATAATCATACAAAAACACCAAGAATCTCTGCAATCGAAGGAATTAGTCATCGATGAATCTCAGCCAAGTCTGCTGTGTGAAGATAGGTAACAGGTAACAGAGTGTCCTTTACTGCGGGTAAGTCCAAGCCAAAACCATAATGATATATACATAAAGTTGCAATCGACTCGGCTGTTGATGTGAATGAGGAATAGACTATAATATATATTTTTTTATTTGGGTTCAGAAATGTCTAAATTCACTTTTAATTTAATAAAATATATTTCTTTTTATAAATATTTTTACTATTCATATTTTTAAATACCCCTTCTCTTGCAGCTCCTCCACCACGTTATTAGTTGTTGAAAAATAAATCAAGGAAAATCCAAATGGATTTGAAATCATAAGTCTTTTGGAATGCATTCGACTCGAACGGCCTGAGAATATGGCACCTGGGAAAAGATGTTAGTCCGATACCACTTTCGAGACGGAAAGACGGAAACAAAATCAATCAAGAGCCGTAAGAAATCTCCGGAAGCAACGGCGAACCACCCAAGGTCCGTACAGAAGGAGGTGCGAGTGGAAAACTCAAGTCCGCTCAAAGTTCCACGGACGCGAAGCGGGGCATTGGAAGTTCGACAAGTTACGACGCCACGGAGGCAAGATTAACGACCATGGCAGAATCCCAGCCGAATCCTCGCCGGAGTAACGGTGGAGCGTAAGGCGAAGTCGACGCCGCGAAAGTAGACTATGTCGCTGCCAATATCAATATCAATTTCAACCCAAAACTATTACTGGATATCGCAGCAGCAGCAGCCGCAGCAGCAGCGGAAAGAGCAGGAACAGCAGCCGGAGGAGTTATGCGCTAGAGCAAAAGCCGACGCCAGGAGCAGTCGATGAATCGTTAGGACAATCTAATCTCAGCATCAGTCACGAAACCACAATGAGCTTCCTGCAGCCACAGCACGCACTGTCGAGGGCGAGGGTCCCTGTCCCTGCTGTTGGCGGCACCCTGCTGGTCTACGGCCTGGGGCTTCTAATTATGCTGCCAGGTGAGTGTGTGGGTCCCTTGGCCTGGAATAGAAACGGAAACAAACAGGATGGAAAGCCAAATAAACAAAATAAACGGATAAGGGGGAGCTCCCAGCATGATGAAGAAACCTTGAAAGTCACAACTCTGCCGGGAGCATTTCTTATTTAATCTCATTTACTATTTTATTTGTATATCAACTGATATGCCAATGACTTTAATAATAGTTTACAAAGTATCACTAAAAAGGAAATTAAATGGATAAGAAAAACACATCAAAATTAACCCTCGGCTTCTTCAGTTCTATAGTAACATTACTTGTTAATTACATTACTTATTATCATTCCATTTATTTAATTAAAAAAAAAAAGGTGTGTAACACTTTTATTAACTTTATCTTTTAATGCACTTTAATGAACTTTATCAGTAAATAGTTTCAAGGCTTTAATCAAAGGTCCCTGCTATAGATGCAACACATTCTTTTGATTAAACCTTATAGAATACACTGAATGCGAAGGGTTTGCTTTATCATTTTCCCTTTTCGAGTCGCTCGTTTTTGCTCTAATTTAAAATGTAATTAATTTCGCTTGCCATTTACAGCCTGCACGGCTGGCCCCCATGAAAAGCGTTTGCTGCACGCCCTACTGGACAACTACAATAGCTTGGAACGGCCGGTGGTCAATGAATCCGATCCACTGCAACTGAGTTTCGGACTAACTCTCATGCAGATAATCGATGTGGTGAGTCAGAAAAGAGTAGTTTTAATATTTTATTTACCAAAGATTTACACCTGAAATCCAAGGTTAAGCAAGGAAAGTCCAGGCCACACAAGGGAATGCTGGCATTGCACCAGAATTCCCCAAAAATTCCCAAAGGGTTCTAGCTGTAAAGTGAGTCAGCAGACTTGGTCCTTGGCTTAAAATGCTTTTGAGATTTTTTTTGAATATATTTTGTAAACTCCTTTTATTTCCTCAATATTGTTTTTGCTTATTTTATATATTTTTCATCATAAACATTACATTTTTTTCGTTACAGGATGAAAAGAATCAATTGCTAATAACAAATATTTGGCTGAAACTGGTAAGTAGCATTCCTATATTTTATAAATTTTGTATTAAAAATCATATAAATAATAAATGTAATGCAGTTGATTGCTTTATTATATTATTTTTGACATGTAAGGATTATGTATGTACAGTCTCGGTCCAAGTGTAAGCTTGACATGACATGACACGATTATTGAAAATGTAAGCACTTGTGGATTTTTTACAGAAAGTAAGCCCTTAAGGATACTTTACAGAAAGTCAACCCTTAAGGATGCTTTACAGAAAGTCATCCCTGAAGGATACTTTACAGAAAGTAGTTACTTTACATGCGGCAGGAGGCGCCACCAGAAAGTGATGGGGATAAAAGTCCTTTAAGATTCCAAGAACTTTTTGTTATTTAATTAAAAAGCTAAGCTTGGCTTCTGAAAAGATACAGTGTCGATTTATTTTTATAATTACATATAGCAATTAAAGTTTGGATGAATCATTGGATTTTTCATTGGCTTCTTTTAAGGAATGGAATGACATGAATCTGCGCTGGAATTCGAGTGAATTTGGAGGCGTAAGGGACCTGCGGATTCCGCCACATAGGCTATGGAAGCCGGATGTGCTGATGTACAACAGGTTAGTAACCTTTTTGGATACATCAGATCTAAAGGTACGATTTAGCTTTAAACAGGAACTTATTATATATATATTTTTTTTTTGTTTGTTTTCTAATAATTTATATTTTCTTTTTAGTGCCGATGAGGGCTTTGACGGCACATATGCCACAAATGTGGTGGTCCGCAATAATGGTAGCTGCCTGTACGTGCCACCGGGCATTTTCAAATCCACATGCAAGATAGACATCACGTGGTTTCCATTCGACGATCAGAGATGTGAAATGAAGTTTGGCTCGTGGACCTATGATGGTTTTCAGGTAAAAGAAGGATATTCATATATTTCTGATCAGATTTTCCTTAACACAATTTACCAAATTATTTATTAATTTATTTTCTACGCCTTAATAGCATATTTTCGTATATATTTCCCTTAAATATGGCTTATTATTTATTATAAAAATTACCTACCTACAAAAATGATCTACTTGACTGATGACAACTCATTTCTATCCTCGGCAGTTGGACCTGCAGTTGCAGGACGAGGCAGGTGGCGACATTTCAAGCTTTATAACCAACGGCGAATGGGACCTGTTAGGTAAGTAATTAATGCGAATGTCAGGCGAGACGTCATGGTCCAACATATATATATGTTTTGCGTTTGCAATAAATGTCTGTATTAATCTCGTATTTAATCTCTTCTTCTCTACTCCATCCACTGGTCATCTGTCATTCTAACCTCCCAAACAAATCCACCGAAAAATAAAACCCCAAATCTCCCCACGCACGATATATCCAAAAATCAATCAATCAACCAAACAACCCATCAGGTGTGCCCGGTAAACGAAATGAAATCTACTATAATTGCTGCCCAGAACCTTATATTGACATAACATTCGCCATTTTGATAAGACGCAAAACTTTGTACTATTTTTTCAATCTGATTGTGCCGTGCGTACTGATCGCCTCCATGGCACTGCTAGGGTTTACACTACCACCAGATTCTGGTGAAAAGCTATCGCTTGGTAAGTGTTGTCCCCAACAACAACAACAACAACAACAAAAATAACAACAACAACAACAACAACAACAGAAACCCTTCTCCGCCCTTCCGTCTCTCAAACTTGACTCTATTTCTATTCTACCTTCTGACTTTACTACATACATACATAACCCCGCTAGAGGAGTTTCCAAAACAAAAAAAAACCGACTCTCGTTGTTCTCTATAAATAGATAAACCAGTTGTTGATGTCAAAACTAACCAACAGAATGAATGCCAAACTATTTGTTACTAATTTTTCGTTTTATTTTTTTTATTTTTCTTTGTTTTTCGCTAGTGCATCTTGAGTATCTATTGATTAATTAATTTACAACTTTTGCATGCCCGGCAAATAACTGCTGCTAGTCACCTACAAATCCTGTCTACCTTAGTTCATTCAGGACTCTGCTGTCTTAGTAGGGCCTGGGAAGTGTTGGCTTCCCAATTGGTCTATGGTGTATTACAAATCGTGTAAATGCGACATAAAAGTGACAATTTTTCAAGCTAGACAAAAAAAGTACCTAATTTAGAATATCTTTATGCTGTAAAGAAGTGAGAAAGTTGCTTCGAGCATCTTTGTAAGACTTTGTTAAAGACTGTGTAATATTCGAGATATATCTTATCAAACTTAAAGAAGAAGATATCAGAAAAGAAAGAAAATGTAATATAAAACGATTTAAGAGCATTCCATTTTTGATTTTCCGAGATTAGGAGACTGTTTTTTCGCATGTTTCTATAATCAAAGAATAAGGAATAACGCCTTAAGTTGCAAAATTTAGAGTAGAATTGGTCAAGGAAAGAAAGCCATTCGGAATATACATATAAGGAGATAAATGAGGAATATTCGAGAAATATAAGAGGAAAATACGATGAATTTATGACGAATACATGAGGAATATACATATGATGAAAATATGAGGAATATATAAGGATGGTTAATGCCCTATGTTGTCAAACTTTTAGAAGAAATGATCAGGAAAAGAAACAAGTTTAATATACATTTTTTGAATTTTCTATATAAGCGGACTTTTGCATAGTATAAACTCCATTTACACGAATGCCATATACCCTTCCTTGACGTCTATGCTACTGTTGAGAACCAAGTGCAATTGCTGTTTGCAATTTGCAATTGTTAAAACTTTGCATGGTTATATTTACAGTTTTGGTTGCCAAATTTGGTTGCTGTAGCTTTTTTTAGTTAAGGGAATCCATGCACTCAAGGGAAAGTTTTGGATATTACAGATATAAATAATAATAATAACAATATTATTTTATAAAATATCATGATTAGCATTCTGAGATTGTGGGTTGAGTAGAGCAAAGCAATTACAAAATTTAAAAGGGTTTTAGATGTGAGAAGCTTACAGTTACCTTAATTTGTATAATTTATTATTTTAGTTCCAAATCTAAAATGGCTTGCAGGGCAATCCTTAGTACACTATTCACAGATTTGTAAGAAAAGCATCTCAGACACGGACAGTACCTTAAGCTGGTTCCCATCTGGCTTGGGGTCCCGAGGTTCAGAGCAGAGAATATGGTAGTAGTTTTTTATTGAAGGCCAAAAAAAAAACGTATGTGATCATGGAAGAAACTCACTAAAACACATCTGCCATGCCAAGCCGCAGGAAAGAGAGCGCTCAGAAGGATTCCTGTTCCATATAGTATTTATAATATATTGTCTTGCCGTAATCGTAATCGTAATTGTAACCGTAATTGTGTATATTTTGTGTGTGTGTATGTGTGTTACTATATTTCGCGGAGCAAAAAAAAATATATATATATGAGAAGCACAACTGATTTAATCTTAATTTGATCTTATTTCATGCCAACCGACGGATCTAAAAATAACAAAAAACAAATCCAGGAGTTACTATTTTACTATCGCTTACAGTCTTCCTTAACATGGTGGCGGAAACAATGCCGGCGACCTCCGATGCAGTGCCGCTGCTCGGTAAGTACAGCCCGTGGCCAATGTGACACGAATATGCCACACGAAAAAAAAAAAAAACAAAAGAAACTAAGAAAAATTCCTAACATATTTTACGTCTAAATATACGCAACTTAACTAACGCACTCTCAACGCATTCAGCAAAAATCCATCTTCAACTTGCCACATATATATTCTACTTCTCGCACAGCCCCCGAGACAGTGTCGCCCAGTCCAGTCGTCCTCCAGGAGCATCGCATTTGCATTCGCATTCGCTTTTTCGTTATCGTTATTGTCGTCTTTGTCTTTCTCTCTTTGTTGCCATTGCAAAATTTCGTTCGTCTTGTGAATTTGGGGCACACATGAAGAAGGTCTGACAATCAGCTGCCTAAACTAGGATATATAATATATCACGAATAAACAAATTGAATCGAATCATCGCTGTCCTCTTTCACAAAATATATGCCCCACCTAACATAAGTACATACACTGTCATTCAAGTAGGTTAGTTGGTCCAGTCAGTGAATATACTCCATAATCCATAGGCATGCCTTCGGAGTATTTCCCCTAAAATTTGATAGTTGCATGCAGAGTGACCTTGTTCTGTGGGTAAATTGTCATTTTCGGATTTACTGTCAATCAAATTTTGTACATATGGTTCTGTATTTTGGCATCCTAAACCCGATTAGAAAAGATACATGAAAAATATAAAGAACCAGAGCCTATATCCCGGTTTTGCCCTCATTCTCTGCTCTACAACCAAGACTTCGTAGCGAACGAGAGAGTTGCACGTAAGAGAGTTGCACGTAGTTTAAATCGAGAGTATCTATCAGTTCGGTCTTTTGTAAGGCCTTTCCTCAGGAAGCGGGAGAGAGATCAACTTTTGCTCTCTTGAGGACGCTTGCTGTTCGGCAATATATTTCTATTTCTCTTGTACGCTAGGTATTTAGCTGTCTCTCAGAATACAATTGAGCGCAATTACAACAGACGGAAACACGATACAACCACAAGAGAGGGCGCTATTTTAAGGTTCTTCGGTTCGGTCTTGGGAAAGGATTTAAATGATCATAGGGGTTGGGCCCATTTTACGAGTTGAGTAAGGAACCTCCTCTGAACCCCCAATGTTCTCATGTAGAGCTGCACTCCTCTTAAATAGAACCATTTCGAGAATATGTATGTAGTCCATCGGATCTTCATAGAACCAAGTGAACGGATAGAGATAATTACACACCCACTAGTTTCCTTATTAACTTTTGCATGCCCACCTAACACACGAAAGAGTCTTGCTCCTGCACACTTTGTTAATTGTCCTCCTTCGTCTCCCCACTGCACACGTTTTCTCCAATTTTATTATAAATTCTTTAATAGTGTATGTAAAAATAGAACATTAACAACACACAGTCACAGTCCACCGAAAATACTGTTTTAGACATGATATGTTTTAAACATCAATGAACCATCAAGTACTCTAATAATATCAATATGCCAATATTACCTATTATTCATATACTGTAGTTGTAGTAAAGTATATTCGATGAGGGCTGATTCGACAGTCCCAAAGGGCGCCTTTTGCTCCCTTGTTTTTTTTTTCTAAAGAGATTTCATATACTCAAAATGGTAGACCATATAGCGTCTATATGTACATATGTATATATAAACCGTCGTGTGAACTCATTTGCGATATTTCGAGTATGTGAATTGATTTATTTGTTTGGTTTGTATCTGATTTCGTCTTAATTTCCATTGTTCCTTTGTGTTTGTGCCAGTGAGCTTTTGCCAAGGACCACTACCACATAATGTAAGCGAAAAAACGTTCTTGTCGGCATGCAGGAGCACAAATGTCCCGCCCCACCAGGCACCAGGACAAAGGACTGAGCGGGTCCAAGCTGTTCCTGGTCCCAGCCGAACCAGCCGAGCCAGTTTGATCCCTTTCGTCCCACACACAGCCCACAGTTCACAAATGCAACTCCACAACACTCCACAACAAGAACAACAAAAAAAAAAACACTCCACAAGTTTCACCAACAACCAACCACGCTTACACCACAGCGCATACCCGGTACGAGTGCTTAGTACATTAGCTAGGTGTGTGTAAATCGATGTATACTATGTAGGTGCAATAGTTCTCAACATAGAATGTAAAACCCCACACGAGAACGGTCACACTTAGAACCAAGAAAGAGCTCCGGTACAGTCTCACTTAGAACCAAAAACCAACTCGGCTCAACTTTGCTGAAACTCTCTCTGCCCTCTTTGCATACAAAAACCGAATAATGTGTGCTCTACTTTTTGAAAAAAAAAAACCCACTTTCCCACACTTTTCCAACTTTACTTTATCTATGTACTTACTACCGCTTTTTGTACGCCTAACACGTGAGTGCACAGAGCTAACGATTTTACTTTAACAGAAATTGGAAATTGGATTTCAAGACGGTTTGCTTTTCACATATATCCACGTGATACGCGGTACAGACTAAATTTTTATGTTGTTCTACCACAAATATTATAAAATATCAAATGTATATTAACATTTTTATAAATTGGAACTCTTTTTGAAACGTAAATTTAGTCCCATTCCTAGATATTGTTTAGATCAGTGCTAATTTTTTTTTAATTGGTCGATTTAAGATAGATACATGAAGACCACACATAGCTTAAAGATTATCTTTATTACAAGATTGAAATAAGCCAGTTTCTTGTGAAAGAAAATAACTGGTGTTCTTTCCAACGAAATCATTGGTGAAGTTTCTTTACACGTTATGAATACGAAGATAATAAAATGACCCGATTTCCTGATTAATAAAAGAGACCTTGTGATCTTTCCATTAAAATATTTGGTGAATATATTTGACATTTCACAAATACGCAACTTTCGCTTTCACCTCCCAAAACTCTGGAATGTTAGGCATCTTTTTACATACCGAAATATACAATGGAAGTGGGAGGCATATCTTAAACTAATGAATTCCTGGTTCCCTGGTTCTTATATGAACAATACTTCCTCTCACGAAGCCTGGTGCAAACATTACTTGTAGTAAATGCCATCTATAGGATATTTGATCAAATATCAGATAAGTCCAAAACCAGATCCACCACTTGCTAATATTTTATATACTATATATATATATTTTTCAGCTTTGTAAGAACGTTTTACTGAATGATTGTGTTTGTTTTTTGGTTTCTCAGTTTCGTTCTAAAAGAGACAGTTTAGTTCACTTGATTTTCCTAATTAATCGCTATGTAGTGTGGTAGAACAATAATACTATTATTGTTATTGTGTTACTTACAATGTGATTGTGCTGTTTCTCCCACCGATAAGTTCGTCCACAGTATCATACACCCAGCCCCTAGCAGAATCCTCCTCCTTCCACACTTGTAAATCAAACACGCAGCCAGATAATCGTTTCATATAAATCCCCCGAAAAGAATCCAAAATTCGTTCGGTTCCACGATATATAATTGATAAACTAACATACTTTTTGGTATTGCTTGTCCTATATTGATTGATCGAATTGGTAAACCTGTCAGCCGTTTCCACAGTAGAACTATATATACACATGCTTGTTGTCTCCGAAAAATCAATATTAAGAAATCAATAAACGAAAACCATAAAGCATCAGGGAGTAAATGTGTAATAAATTGCATATATGCGTATATACTTCTGTGTTATTTGTCGTTTTACTAACTGAAACGTCTAGCTTTATATCAAAAATAATTGAAAACAGATGCCAAAAAGAGCAAAATCTATTTTTTATTGCATACTCTTGGATGCCTTTTCAAATTGATTACCAATCCGTGGCGATTTCTAATGGTTATGTTTTTTAAAGTCGCCTTTCCGCAACGATCAACGATGACCTTTTTTGGGAGCTTTCAGGACCGATATGCACTCAATGCCCATTGCCCCCATTTTGTGCTTAGATCGATTATTGGAAAGTGTGTGCCCCAAGAAACACATTCGCCAAAACCGTTTACATCCATGCCCCAAAAAACCAAGACCACCATGGAGATTTCAAAACAGTTGTCACGGTCGCCACGCCATATTTCAATATGATTTCTTTTCGGTTTTGAAATCCTAAATCTCAATCTCAATCCATTGATAAACTTAGCCACAATTACAATTACCTTTCTAATGCTAGTTAAATATAGTTTGAACAAAAAACAAAAACAAAATATATATATAATATAGCCAAACAAACACATTCTGGATATCATCCGGCGAAGAATTCGTAGTACCTTCAAATTGTCATCGCATCACTTCCATTTACTTTTCGTTCGTCATTCGCTGCGCATAATATATAAATAAATGACATCTAATATTAACTATAAACCAAGCGTCTAAATTAAACCAATTAAATTATATAAATATCATTTGATTGAACCTCATTAAAGCCGTGTCTCATCCAAATCTAAACTCCCAACTTAACAACGAACAACAACGTCAAAACAAGAAACAAAAAAAAAAAAAAAAAAAAAAAAAACAACAGACCATAGTGAAACTACAATAATAAAAATATTAAAAAAAACAGACAATGTCCAGATATATATGTATGTGTATATATCCACAAGTCTAGACCAACAACAATTGAGAAAATTACCAATTAGATCTCGATTTTTAACCAAAAATGATGATTGCGGATAATTGGTTGTGCACTAAACGACTAAAAAACGTAGGCGACAGGCAAAACTCTGTTAGTCCAGTTCAAAATCTTGTCTCGGCCTCCAGCCATTCGGATATACATATACGATATATAATCCGATATGCAGCTGGGGGACGCTTTGAACTGGGCTACGCAATAGCAGATATCGAGTTTATAGTGCTAGAGGACAGGCCACCAACGGGTTGGGATTTTTGGCTGGGCATTGGTGAAATTCAGGGCTTGAGCAGGATAACAGTAATTACGTGTAAAATAATTAAATTCGTACCAAAAAAAAAAAAAACAGCAGCTATGCCTTACTTTACTTTTCCTCTACTACTCTTGCTTTCAGTTTGTGTTTTTTCCACTAATTTTAACTTTTCGCAAGTAAATATCAAGACACTCCGAAGCCTACAAGTTAAGTCTGAGCCTGCTCTGCCTTCTCTGCAAATTAACTAATCAATTAATTAATTAAATTAACAAATTTGATTATGGCTTGCAGAGTTGGTAAGAACGCACACACACACACACACACATACACAAGCTTATGTTTAGGTAACATTGTAGGAATATACTTATTTTGGTCTACTTTCCAAAATTAACTGTAAACTAATACATAAGTCTAACTGAGCTTAAGACAATTTTTAAAACAAAAATCGGGAGCTTTGTTTTTTGTTAACCATACATATTACTTATAGACCAGTTCCCGTTTCCGAAAGATCTTTTTTCTGATACTTGTATATAAAAAATAAAGTCAGTCCTTATGAGCACTTCCCCGATAATTTCACGTGATACTTGTACATAAATTAATACAAAAATAAATCAAAGTTTAAAGGAAATTTTTAGCCAATAGAAGTGATAACATGGTCACACTTTGCCAATTGAAGTGAACACCCGGTCACACTTCACCCATTGAAATTAAATTATAAAAACCCCTGAGTAATCGGAAATGAGAACAGGTTTTTGGAGCCAACACCAAATACAACAACACATACACACTGAATACAAACACACTAAAACCGACCCCAATTAATCAATGAATATTGAAGCTAGGTCAGAAATATAACTACGTCGTGATCCGTATCCGTATGATAAATCCGGGGGCTAGGCTAAGAAAAAAAAAATAAATCAAAAAACAAAAACTGAAAACGAATCGAACAATTACTACAAGTTTGTGTAATTTTTGTGTCCTTCTAGGAACTTATTTCAATTGCATTATGTTTATGGTGGCCTCATCAGTTGTGTCAACCATACTTATCCTCAATTATCATCATAGAAATCCAGATACGCATGAAATGAGTGAATGGGTAATATTTTTACATTCAAATTAACTTAACTACTTTCTTACATTGTACAAAACAAAAAAAAAAGCAAAAAACAAAAAAATAATATATATATATACAAAAAACAAACGAATTTTCTATCCATATTTTTCAAGACATATAGATCTTATCTTTTGAAATTAATTTTTTATTCCACTGCTAAACATACATCTATACGTATGTAATCTTTATTTATCCAAACTAAACGAATCACTTTAAACCTATTTGTTTGTAAATAGCTAGGATACTTATAATAATAAAAAAAAAAAACAAACAAACATAAGTACGCATAAACCTATACATTTCGCTCATAAGTCACCCAACCTCAAATACACCAACTCACCCACCGACTTGCAAGAAGATATACCCGAGAAAAGCATGAGAGACTACAGCCAATCCTCCTTCCATCTCTTTACCAGTGTTCTGCGAACGAAAACCTTAATTAAGAAACGCCACTCAACTTACAATATTAAAATTCAACAACAACAAAAAATATAGAATACCGAATCCCCAATGCGTTCTCATTCCAATATCAAAACACTAAAAATACAAAGTATATATTGCAGGCACAGAAATCTGTAATCAAAAATCTATCGACCTATCGATCCCCTATAATTTCAGTAAATATATTATCTAGAAATTAGATATCAGCAAATTTCCGAACCAGTTTGATTAATATCTAACATATACGATGTCCTTTTATGTACACATAAACGCAAAATAAAAGTTATTGCTAGGAAAAATTACTGAAATAGTTTTTCATATATTTTATTCGATGAAAATAGCATAGCTTATTTTTTATCGGGTTTTCCTAAAAACCTGCTACTCGTAAATCTCTTATTATTAATTAATTAATAATTAAATGCTGCCTTTCCAAAATCTTATGGGTATTACAATTTTTTTTGCCTGCAAGGGTATAAAAGTTTTGGCTTGCCAAAGCAAACTTTTTACTTTCTTTTTTATATATATTTTTTTTTAATATATTTTCAAGAGTATGCATGGTTATTTCGCGAATATTTAACATTGTCATCTATTAAAAATTCAAGAAAATTGCTATGACTTTGGTTAATTCTTTAATCCATATATATCCTTCATAAAAAAAAAAACATATATATGCAATGTTTTCCTTTATAAAAGATGGAAATAATGACAGATGAGATTACAGATTACAAAGAAATTACTATTCGTTGCGCATCAATCCCCAAGAGAAATATTAACTTCAGTAGCTCCTTGAATGCAAAATGAATACAAAAAAAGAAGCAACAAAAAATTGTGCTGATATTCAAATGATTCTTTTTTTTTTATTTGTTAAATTTAGTCCTCCTACAAAGCTCCTAGTTGTTTGATGATTTCTTTTTGAGTTACGTTTGTAATTAATGTGCGCATACTACTTACTTTAATTAATTATGAAAAAGCGTATCTGCCAACAACAGCACCAATAATCTCACACAACAATTTTTATTTTTCAACCAAAACTCTGGCCGACAACTACAACAACAACTACGCAAACCGGCAACTCAACTCTTCTTCCAACGCAAACTCTGCAAACTGCCTCTTCAACTCTCTCTCTCTATATATCTCTCTTTCTATTTCTACATATGTGTATCTTTCTGTCTCTCCCTGCCATTTGAACAATTTTAACCAACCAAACAAACAAACAAACCAAACAAAACAATAACAAATAAATGAACAATCTTCGTACAAAAAACCAAATCAACAACAACGACGGCCCATGCACGAGTCGATCATATGAACACCAACGAAACACTCCACATTCAACATCCAACTTAACTCATAATACACCAATGAACTCACCAACAAACTCACCAAAACTCACCACCACTCCCAACTACAAACCATGTGCTAATAAAAAATTGATAAATATCTGACGATAAACCGATAAATAATCCCCCAAACTTAAATACCTCTCATTCTGCTCATCCTCGATGTCATGCGTATATATATTTATATATATTCAACAACAATCGTGTCGCTTCAACAACAACTAATAATGAAATTATAAAAAACAAAAAATAACCAACGAACATTTAACATAACTGAAACGAAACTTTAAAAAAAAATGATAACATAAACTGCCTTCCAATTAAAAAAAAAAAAACTAAAAACTAAAACTTATTGCTATTATTTTTAACCGCATTACCCAACCACACTCCGTCTCTCTATCGAACTCGCACACACAGATAAGAGTAATATTCCTTTATTGGTTACCTTGCATATTGCGCATGCAAAGACCCGGACAGGTTGGCTATGAATGCCCGCCGCCGCCCTCTTCGTCGAGTTCATCGAATGCCGGCGACAAAAAGCAACAGATACAGAACGTTGAGCTCAAGGAGAGGTAACCGCAGACGACAGTCTTCTCTCTAGTTTCCCTAAGCCTCTAAGTCCTTTCCAACGTCCCATGTTCTGCCTGCTCTCTGACTCTATACATATTTCTATCTATCTGCACACAATTTTCTGTCGCAATCTTCGCTCTGCGTTCTGAACCCACAATCCTGAAGATCCTCGAAATCCCTGCTGGCGAATGTTTTAGATATAGACGATGATTTTCGCTGCAACCATCGCTGTGCCAGCGCCACTTTGCCGCACCAGCCCACATATTTCAGGACGTTGTACAGGTGAGGCCATCGTAAAGGTTATATCTATCAGGTATATGTATTATTGACTTGCAAGACCAACTCAATCCAAGAATTTGGGCTTCTATATTCACCTTTAAAAGCTAATCTTTCCCTTAAAAGAACTGTAATCAGAGTCTATATACCACACACAGGCAGGGGGATGACGGCAGCGTGGGACCCGTGGGCCCCGTGGGACCTGTTGCCGAGGCGCGCATGCACGAGGCCATCTCTCACACCTGCCTGAGCTCCTCGGCTGAGTACGAGCTGGCGCTGATACTCAAGGAACTCCGCTGGATAACAGATCAGGTAGGACTTGGACTAACACAATACTTTAATACTTAATTCTAGAAAACTAGTAAACTTTTTCTTCATTTTTATTATTAATTATTAAATTAATGAAATATTACATTTAATAATGTTTTATAAACATATATTTCTCATTCACAGCTTAAAAAGGAGGACGAGACGGGCGACATAACACGAGATTGGAAGTTTGCAGCCATGGTCGTCGACCGCCTGTGCCTTATTATTTTCACGTTATTTACTATTATTGCAACCCTAGCGGTACTCTTCTCAGCACCACATTTCATTGTAAGTTTATACAAGTCTCTGGTGTTGGGTACAATTTTCACAGACTCCATTTTCTATGCAGTTCCCGTAAGTGGAAGCGGAAGCGGAAGTACAGCGAACAGGACAATGAACCCAGAAGGAGGTGATCACTACGACGATGACGACTACAGGAAGTGGGGGAAAGGAATAAGGAATAACTCGCATGGGTCGTACTTTTGTTAAATATATATACTATGAAGCAAATCAAAAAACAAAAACCAAAAAAATCATATGAAATTAATCAAGACAAGTGCATAGGCCAAAAACACGAAAGCATAACAAGAGAGAGAGAGCACAGAGAGTCTATCCGTTTTGTTCTTTATAATTTCATAGTTTCGAAGATGTGTCTGATGGTTATCAAGGTTATTATGATCAGTTCGGATAGTGGCGTATGTACGTATGTGAATGCATTTTGTATAAATAATAAAATCAATCTGGTACAATAATTGTCTGTACATACATACATACATAAGTTGCCTCCATGCGACACACAAGCTGAGGTTTCTTACTCGCAAAGAGCTAGTGAAAGGCTCTCTAGCTTCCAAGCTCCCTAGCTACCTAGCTCCCAGCCTCCCAACTCGACTTGAGATCGCAATGAGAGAACGTTTAACGACATACATATACATATTATACGGCTTCACACAATAATGAAATATATTAAGTACTCAAAATAGTCTGTATGCAACATTTGAGCAGTTTTTGAATGTTTGTTTTCACTCCCCTATAATCCTTTCACCCCCCTCACATTATATTGTATAAAATATTGTACTTTTGCCATACTTTTGATCCCCCATACTGTTCAATTTTGATATATGAAATAGTGTATACAAATATGTTGCTGTGATAGAAAAAAAATTATAACAATACGTAATCCAGTCACAACACCAATTCCAAGTGGTCAAAAAAAAAAACGCAAACAAAAAAGTGATGATGGATAATGGATAGTGGATAGATACTGGATGATGATGGCACTTAAACTTAAAAAAAAAAAAACTTAAAAACTTAAAAAAACTCAAGAACGAACGTTAATCTGAAATGAAATCGCACAAGGCATTCATTGATACCTAAAAAACACAATCAAAAAGCAAGTCAAAGTCGATATGACAATTACAAGAATTCAATCCTACTCCACGAGCAACATGATACACACACGAGCATAATGTTTTCTATACACACAAGCTTCGCAAAGATACAGAAAAAGATACAGAAAAAGATGCAATACAGATGCAGTGTCGACGTTAAAAACGAGCAAGCAATCCTTATATCTAAATCAAATGCAAACGTTATTTGGAAGAAACACAAACAAAGCAAACGCAAAAGCAAACGCAAAAACAAGAGCAAAAGCAAATGCAAAAGCAAAAGCTAAAGCAACAAATATAAGCTTCAAAGAGAATGTGTAAAACAAAGTATAAAGTTAACTATTTTTAAAATTAAAATAAAAATGAAAGCAAAACAACAAGAAATGCAGTGGCAACGAATCCCGTATATAACGTACTGCTAATTAAAAAATAAAAACAAAAATCAAACAAGTACTAGTATTAGGAGTAAGCATAGAAAAAAAAACAAAAAACAAGGGTAGAGTCAGAAAATATACACACCAAATGCATACGAAAACAAATATTTAACTATCTCCGAAGTTACAGAACAACAAAAACGCGTGCAAGTTGAATACAAAAAAAAAAAGAAAAAGAAAAGTTAGATTTAACGAATTTTTAAACTACAATTAAATGAACAGCAAAAAGTTAACAGAGAATTCATGATTAGCGTAAACAAAAAGCGTAAAAGTTAGTCACGAGATTTTAAAACAAATGCGAAAGAAAACTGAAAACAATAAGAGGTCTTAGATTTTAAATAGCGCTGCTGAGACATTGCCCCTAAAAAACAACCAAAAACAAAACAAAATACTTAAAAACGAAAAACCCAAAAGCAAAAACAGTAAACTCAAATGTTAATTTACAAGATTTTGAAGGATTTTTCGTTGATATATAGTACGAGAGAGTACCATTATTATTTTCTGATCCAGTTGGACTCCAGAGAAATTTACATGCTTTATGTGTCGAGATCTGATCAACTACCTCAACTAAGCAAGGACTCGTTTTATAGGTACACGACAAACAAAAACAACTAGGCTTTTATTGAGGCGTCACCTTACCACAACTACACTTATTTCTCGCACATTCCTTCAATTTGTAATCAAACGTTTTTGAAGCTGAAAGGTATATTCACATACGACAACAAAGTACTAATAATATTATTTCTTAAAATAATAACAACAAAAGTTAATGTGTGGTTTCTTGAAATCAGGTTAGATTTTGAATATTATAAACAGGTATCTGATGCATTTCGAAGGGTTTGCTATTATAGGTAATTAGTTTTCGTACAACATGCCTCTCATTTCAATTACAGCCAGATATTATTGTATTATTGTATATGGATAAATAGATGATTGTATGTAGTAATGACCGTGTCACTGCCCGAAACGCTTATTATGGCCCCTTGTCTTCCTGCCAAATGAGCACTAGTCTGAATCTCCTCTGCAGCTTCAAGAGCAACATCATTCTTAAGCCTTAATTCTCCTTTTTGCTCGGGACGCCAATGGTCCCTAGAGTCCTGCCTGGAAAAAGAAAGAAAAATAGTAGTTAAAAATCAGACTTGATGGTTTGTTGTACTCCCTATTACATATCACATTTCAAGTGAAGTCTCAAGCAATAAAAAGGTGGAGCCAAGCCATTCTCTATTATATTTTTTAACTAATAATAAAAATAATAAAAGGCGTTTGAAAAATATGTTATATTAGATTCGAACAAGACAAGCTAGAAAGTTCATTTTGGAAAGCAGAAAAAAATAATGGAAGGGAGAAATAAATATACTTTTTATATGATTTGATTAAAAATTTAAATAAAAAAAATCAGCAGTTTAATAATAGAATTTTTGTAAGTACTTTTTTATTTCTCCCATTTTAAATGCTTGCTAAAAATTACAGTAAACAATATTTAAACAACATTTCAACACCACAAATGCGGCAGAGCTCTGTACTAATCAATTTTATACCAGGGGAAAAATACAAACAGAGGGTTATATAAAAGGTGAAGGTAATAAAGTCTTGTTGTAGGTTCACTTGTGCAGGACTCTAACCCATAGATATGTAGTTTAGATATGTTCCAGACCATTAGCCAGGCAATTCGAACGAAAAGTTAACCTCTAGAATCTGAACCAATACGCTAATTAGCCTATAAAATACACATGGTCCGTGTTTAGATGAAGAAATTGATCAGAACTTAGGATATATACAATAAAATAAAACTTGTAAATACCTCGAACAAAAACAAAACAAAAACAATGAAGAAAATATTCAAAAATTAAAAACAAAAATTTATTCCACAATCAAATGTTTTATTTCGTTTAGATGATGTTCAGGGGGTCGAACTGCACTAGAGAATCATAGCGGTATATTAGTAGCCAACTAGAGAGAGAGAGTTTATATCAGGTCATATATGTAATTAACTTCCGCCAGACTTTTGCAAGGCTTTCATGGAATTAAATGGACCGTAAAATGTACTTTTTGGAGAACTCTTGCAGATGTGGAATTGATACTATGGCTGCATATTATCCTTTCTTTTTTTTTTTTTTTTTTTTGGTTTGTTTTGCCCTAATATCGAACGCTTTTTAATTCATATACATATAGAATACGATCCTTACCAATATCGGTTGCGAAATTAAAGCCAAAAAACAATATAAACTGAAAAAAATAATTCAATGTAATGGAATTATATGAATATTATGTCACATTGACATGCATCTTATATAAGCATATGAAACAACGTCAAATGTATCGTTGGACCGCTCTGTGGGGGCCATTTTCTATGTTTATGCTAATTCCTGATTTATTTATTAATCTGAAATCCCCATTATTATATGCTTTTTCCAAACTTAACAAAGGTTCATAACGCCATGCGATTATTTTGTTTATTGTAATTTAAATGTATGAGCGTTATGCATCTTATTATTATAAGGTATTTTCACATCGTGTTGCTGAAAATATATATTTGCACATTTCTTATTTAAAAAATTTAAAATCAAAACTCGATTTCATGTCAAACATTAATCATAGCATTCAGATAAGAAGACGGCCCCTACTACATACTAGATCGAAAATTATAACAGAAAATAAGAATATTAAGAAGAAGCAAACGCATTAAATGCTCTCATTTTTCATAAACCTTCCTCTACTCATGCAGAGTTATGGTCTTAAGCTATGGATCATGCTACATTTTTAGTTTAATTTAGCAAATACATATATATACATACATATATCTGCATCAATAACTCAATAGACATGTTTTTGAGTTATCTTTATCGTACATAAGTGAGAAATATGTTGGATTTTTATTAAAAGCGCAATTATTTTGGGTAAATACTTTATTGGGTTGGTTCTACCATTTCAGAGTATGATCATGGAGGCTTGAACTTAAGGGTAATGTATTTTAGAAATGGTAAAGTATACATAAAGAACACATTTTAAATGGCCCCATCGATTTATAAAACTAAATAATTGATCGATAATTATCGAAATCAATCAGCGTTTTAATATCTTAGGCTAATTTGTCAAAATTACATCGATAATAGAATTATCGAAGTTATCGTATAGTTCAGTAAACAGTTTACTTAACTTATTTTGTAAAGTTTCGTATTAATTATTTATTTATTTATTATTTTTTATTTATTATTTTTTTATCATATTTTTAATTACTTATATTTTTATTTTTTATACCAAAAAATTAACCCTAAAAATAGGTGCGTTGCCTTAAATTCATGGAAACTTTTTCTTAATTTTAGAAAAATGTTCTTAGTTTTAGGGAGATCTTTTTTCTAAATATAGAAAAATATTTATATGTGTTGAGCCGGCTTGAGGTCAGGGAGGGGGTGGAGTATCAACATAAATAAAAAGATTTTATTCAGTTTGGTCCGATATATTTCGGTTGAACTAACGTCAACCGTCTTCAGGGCAAATTATTTTACACGTCCGCTCTGTTCGACGTGGAGTTTTGTACCCCCTCCCTGACCTCAAGCCGGCTTAACACATATAAACCAAGGAAAGGTCGCCAAAAACCACAACGAAAAATATTTATATGAGTGTAAGTTAAGTAAATTTTGAAAGTGAAGTAAAAAATAATTGAGAGCACTGGAACTGAAACTGCATCTAAGTTAGCAGAGCCCTGAAAATAGAAAATGTAAACCGAAGCATGCCTTTAAACTACTGTCTCAAAAACACAACTTTCAATAATTTCAAGAAGGCAGGGAAGTCAGTTGACATCGACATCGACCTCGTTTAAATTACGACGTGATTTCAACATCACTCACCTCACAATAAACTCAACAAAATACACAAGGACGGTCGGACGACAATGGAGAACTCGACCACCACCACCGTGACTGCATTGCAGTGGAGTGCAATGGAGTCAATGGTTGACCTCTTTGGATTCGAGGTGATCAGCGATCGCTACGATTGCGGCTTCTTTGACATCTTCGCCAGCCTAGTGTACCTCTTCATTTTCCTGTACGCTATGGCCAAGCTGGTACTGGTCTCGGAGCGCTATCTTGGCCAGCACATGCTGGGCTGCCAAGATCATCTCAACGAGGTCCGATCGATGAGCCGCGAGTGGGAGAACACCCTGCAGCTATGCGAGGCGGACAAGGCTCGTCTGAATGGAGAGGTGGCGATTCTGACCGAGAAGAATATCCAGCTGGAGGGAGTGTTGGCCGAGTTGCGCAATTGGAACTTAAATATGTATAAAGTCAATTTGATGCGATCTATCCAGCTGAAACAGGTTTGTATCGTTCCATTTATTAATTCCCCAAGATCAAGTTAAACTTATTTTTTTTATATATTTTCCAACGTAGACAATGCCGACCGTTCCATCGAAAATCTACATAACCAACGCACACTTTCACGTAACGCGTCAGGTGTTCCTTAACGAGGGACAGCTTAGCGTCCGCAATGTCGCCGGCAGCGGCGATGTCCACTCGGAGGAGGGAATACCGAATGTCTGGATGATGTACCTCAAAATGCGCAAGTGTTATATGGGCCCGATTGCCGATCGCAGCTTGGTGGCTCCACCGGGCGACACTCTCAATCCTGTGCTGCCCGTCGTCATGACCACCGAGCAGCTGGCCGAGATGCAGGGTGAGTGCACGAGATTAATCTGTTGCGACGATCTAATGTCCAACCCTTGTCCCGTTGCAGGCATTATCTAGTTGTTGGCAGTGATTTAAGTTAATTCCAAATACAATTGGATATAATTTGTGTTATTTGGAGGATTTTACATGGTTCCCTAAAATAAAAAAAGCATGATAAAAAATAAAAATGAACGTTTGATTTTTTTAATAATATTCATTAATTTATATAATTTGAATACCCAGCAAGGGTATAAAAAGAACTGATATTGAAAAATCCAAGTGCTCGAATTATCATAGAAAAAGCCCCATCCTAAGCTTTATAGTAAACAGTTTTATCAAGGACATGGACCTTATACTAGCCACAGGATAATAGGAATGTCCAACTGAACTTAAAGCTCTGGGCGGAGCTCGTGCGGCGCCACCTGTCTGCTGCAGTGCGTTAGGAGCCCTGGTTTTTTGGTATTTACACCCTTCTCGCAACCAGCTGAGTTGCCCTGCATAACGGGGTTGGACGCATGCCTGCTCATACGCCTGCGCAGGACTCGCGTGCTCTCCGGCTCTGTTAGTCTCGCCCTCTCGCTCGCTCGCGCTCTCTGGCATGCTGCAAATGTCAAAAAGCCATGACTTCACATTCTCCAAACGAAAGTCAGTTCTCTTTAAGACCCCTCTCCCAACACGGTACGCGCCAGGCAACGGCATAAATAAACGGTAAACGGACATACGATAGTGCTAAAACGGTGCGGGATTTTCGCCAGTGCCGCGGAACGCGAGATAATGTGTGTATATTTTGCGAATTTTCTACGATAATTAGGGGACGCGAGAATTCGATTTTCCCGCACATCTTGTCTGCGGCCTATAAACGCGCGCGTGTTCGATTAGTCAGTTGTGTGCGTGGGCCTGTGTGTGTATTTATTTGGATGAATGTGTGTGAATGGGTACGGATAACGGTAACGGGTAACGACCGAGAGTGAGTACTTATTATATAAAGTGCTCGCCTTATTGACAAATTGCTCTTGCGCTGATTTCCATGTCAATGGATGATGATGGCCTGTGAAAAGTGCTAATTAATTAAATGCCACCACTTAAGTATGCTTCAATATTTAACACGCACGCACACATACGACGCCAAGTAGCAACATGTCTTTGGCAGTCGCACTTTTTCGAGCGAGAGCGAATCGCCCCACTAGAGTGAGGGAGAGCGCTGCTAGTGAGCACTCACAATTTATAAATTTTTATTATTTTGACTCCCGCACCACCATCCCCGCCCCGCCCTCCTCCTCTCACTCTCCATTCTTGCGCTCTTTTGCCCTTCGAAATGTCAAAATATTGCAGACAAAAGTCTGCTCCGCACAACATTGCCAGACCCAAATACGAGTTTTCCTCATTAGTCACATGTTTTCCCAGCTTTAGATGGGGGAGAGAGTTCTAGAGAGTGTTATGGTTAGGTTGCCTTGAGCAACTGCAAATATGATTGCAGAGTTTGTCCCGGCTTTAAAACAAATGCCCCTGTAATTATGGGGCTAAGGGTATAAGATATTTTCTGTCTTTATTTGCACACCGTGCTGACATTGCCAGGCTTAAATTGAAATCCCGTTCAAATTGACCGCCACTTGTCGCACTCTCTCCACACACGCTAGTCTCTCTCTCCCTTGTCCGTCCTCTCCTTCCTCATTGGTTTTTTGCACTTTCTCTCGCTGTTAACATGACTTCTGTTAACCTTTGCAGCTTAACCCTTTATCCTTGCCACTTAAACAATTTATTTTCTTACTTCCTTCAAGTTATTTATATAAAGCTGAAAAATTACAAAAATGATGATTGGATTTATGGAAAATGTATTCATAGGAACTATATTATACTGTATGTATATATTTTTTATATACATTATTTCTATGTTTATATATTTTTTAATGGATCATAAATATTGGCAATATAGATCCGTACTAATAAAATCTGAGAAGCGCCCATGGCCATCGGTGGGTTAAGCCTAACAGAAGTGCTGCTCTGTCCCTCTGTTAGTTAGCAGGGCTGAGCGCTCCGGCTCCTGCTCCTGGAACTCCTGGTCTCTTTCGCACACTCAGTTCCTCGGACGCGTGTTCGTCCTGTTTGGCTTAGTTTATGTTTAGTCCTTCGAGCGCGTTGTCAATTTAGTCCTTCTTCCAACGCTGTCGACGAGTCACGAGTTCGCAAGCGTACGCAAGGAGCAGAGCTCTCCCCACTCCTAGTCACATCTACTTTTTTTTCAGTGTCCAAGTGCTTTCAGTGTGCGTGTGTGTGTGCGATTGCTGGTGTGTGTGTGTGTATGAGTTTGCGTGTGTGCGAGTGTGATTTTGGTTTGTGTGGCAGCAGGAATAATAACAAACACACTCAGTTAACTCTGTCACAAAAACGAAGAAATGCGAAATTGCAGCGAAATGTTCACACACAGCTGATCGATTGCAACTCTGCGTGATCCCGTTATGGCTTTTTTTTTGTTAACGTTGTCTATACTATGTGTGTGCGTGAGTGTTTATTATGTCTTTATTTTTTTTGTTATTTTTCGTGTATTTCTTTCAGTTGTTTCGTTTGTCAAGTGCTATTGCTCTCTCACTCTGAGTCAGCAGCGAATGTCAAGCGGAGGGTTGTTTTTTTCGTTTTTCTTTAACGTGCCGCTCCCCTTCCGCCCTCGCACACCCCGCTCGTGCTCGTCACTATCCACTCTCCACTCCACTTTCCACTCTCCACGCTCCTTGTGTTGCCTTCACAAAAACTTCACTTCCAACAACCACTTGCCGTTGTCGTTCCCGTCGACGTCATCGCAGCCATACAACAAACCGCCGAGACACCAACCCCCACTCCACCCCACCCCTAATGTCATTGGCACTTGTTTACCGTTATTCTGTGTGCCTTAAAGTTGCGTGAAAACAAAGAAACCTTGAAGAGCCGTTAATAAACTATAGAAATAATATTAGAAAAAATGAACGGAAGAAATATAAAAATATTGAACTAAGACAATAAGTGATCTGAGAACATCGAGAGAAGTGCGAACTGCGCTGAAAAACGTTGCACTCACCACCGCCTCACGCTCACCGCCTTCACCGCTCACCGCTCGCCCGCTAGTTCACCGCTAATGCCACCGCCCACCACCACTAGAACTACTAAAACAACTACTTTCACCACAACCACTAACCACCACCACCAACCAAGAACCAAGAACAAATAACCAATAACCAACCACAACCACCAACTGTCAGCCTAAATCACTTCGCAATAAACAGTAAACAGTAAAGAGTAAACAGTAAACAATAAAAGAAGACAACAATCAAAAGAAAAGAAAGAAAGGCAGAGCCCAGAGCCCAGATTCCGTGTCCACTTTGTCGTTCCAAAATGTTGTCGTCAGTCGAAAAATGTGAGCTCCTTCAAAATGCATTACTAGATGTTCGTTCCCGTACTACCATTATCATATACTATATATGCATATATAGCATCCCCTAGAACCTATAGCGTAGCTTTCCCCCTTGGAGAACAAGCCGAAGGAGACTTTACTACCTACCGATTTGTCTTGTTATCTTTTTTACCTTAGATCTAGACTCTTGAGAAACTTAAAACTTAGCTCTAACCACATTCCACTCTCTATATACTATATACTATTTTGGTCTGCCTTTTTCTTCATTCTCTCTCTCACTCTCTGTACTTCTCTCTGTCTATCTTGTTCCTGTCTAGTTAAAACATGCCCTAAACTTTTACCCTCCACCCTCACCACTCTGTTAACCTCTCCTGCCAAACACAACAGAACTTTACCCAACTCAAGTCTTTGTAAATTGAGAAAAATCGTCTGGGAAAAGCCTTCCGAGAAACGGAAGGAGTTCTCAAGACGATGCACTTCTACTTATTGGCTGACTAGAACCCCAATTGTGTATATATATTCCACTATCCTACCAAGATCCAGATTCCTAACTCTGAATTACACAATATCAATCGATTTGCTTGCTTCTTAGTCGACCTGCATGCTCCCCAAGACATCGAAATGATCGATTTATTGTTTTGTGAATGCCGCACTCGTCCAGAAAACACATCAAACAGCAAAGCATTAATGCCGCACAACACACAAAAACCACACACACCATACACAGACTAAGTGATCGAATCGCAGAAATTATAGTTAAGCCGTTAAAACACAAACCAACATAAAGTTACTTAATTTCCATTACTCGTTACTCGTTTCTCGTAGTTCCCCAGTTCGTTTGATGCGTTCGTTACTTCGTTCGTTCGTTCGTTCGTATTCTGTTTGCCACATTCAGTTTTGTTTTACTCGAATTCCTAACTGGGAAGTCGGCAAGCGAGAAGCCCAAAAACTGAACTGAAACACCAGCAACTACAGTCTTCATACAGACAAACAAACAGCTGAATAAATTGAAACCTAAACCCAATCTAAATCTATATCTATTCATCCAAAACCTAAAGTGTTTCTAACTATCAATTCTTAATGTAAAAATATCTTTAACCTAAATAAACCCAAAAACACGAACCACACGAAACCGAAACCGAAATCAAAATCCAAACCAAATAATCGATTCGAAATCGCAGCCCCAGGCAAAACTCCCATTGACCACCAAGCACATGAGCTTGTGGCTAAAGGTAAGCTATGAAATGTCAACATTTACATCTATAAATATGTATATATCTAAGGGTATAGTTTTGGTGTACAAATAGTTGTGCAATGTCTATTGTAAGTAGTTGACCCCAAATCTTTAACCTTAAAATTTAAACTATAAAACATATATATATGTTTGTGGGAGGGTAATGAGCTTAAAAAAATCAGCTTCTGAAGACTTTATCCTCTTATAAAACTCCTCGCATCGCGTCGAGTGCTATTTATTATTAATTTTTACCCCATCTGTTAAGCATTAATACCCCAATATCCATAGGTTTTATTGTCTCTGCATAATGAAGCGGACTTTAGTGAATAACTTTCATCGCTGTCATAAATAAACCCTTGAAGCTGTGCATCCCGGTCTTGGCTCAAGGGAAATTCCCCCTAAATTATTATCTTCGGTCCCTTCCTGGTTCCGCATTGATTTGTCGCATGTCCGGATGCTGTCCCGTCCTGTCCTGTCCTGTCCTGTCCCCACGTCTTGCCGCCACGTGCAACTATTCATTTTCAATTATCCTGTTAAATTAATGCCTTGTACACTCGTCCGACCCGTCCTCGACTTCCTGGAAGAACATCCTCCATATATATATATATATACATATATGTACATATATCCTTTGTCTGTGGCATGATTCAGCTATCTGCGAAAAGTTTGCTATTCTTTTTTTATTTTTTATACTCTCACTCGCCGAGTGTGTGTTGCTTTTGTGCGGCGACAATTTCAACGGCAGACGGCGGTTTGGCTCTAAAATATTGGTTATTAGCATAGCTCGGCTGGCCGTATTATGGGGAAGCTGACAAAGCAGCAGCCAGCGCTTTTTGTTGCCTACATTTTTGGGGTCAGGGACTTGTTTTGTCAGCTCGCTTGCCTAGCAAATTGCCAGACACACAGGCCCACCATACACATACACATCCAGTGTGTTTTCTGTATTTCATATAGATAGAGCCCGCTTATACATCTATTTATTCGCTACCCACAAGTTTTTATCCCAGCCTGCTGTTGCTGCTGCTGCTGCTGCATCTTTTGTGCTGTGAATCATAGCCAAATGCATTGGACGCCACGCCATGGCCAATGGGGCTGACAATGCACAAAGAGCTGAGCCAGTGGTAAGATAAGTGAGTCCCTTCCCTACCACCACAGCCACTTTCCACTTCCCCATTTCCAGCTCTTTGCTTGCTGTCGTCATAGCCCTCTCGTCGTCGTCGTCATCGTCATCTTCATCATCATCATCATCATCATCCCAGCCATCACAGTCTAACCCAACCATCCTGTGACAGACAGTTCTGGCTTTTGTTCGATCCGTTCAGTTGAGTTCAGTTCAGCGAGAGCTAATTTAGCGTTAATCGAAGTGTATTTACACTAGTCCCCCTCGCACACACATACCCACACCCACACCTACACACAAAGTCGTCTCTGATTGCATTAACTTGATGGCTGCATTGGCTTGTCACTAATTAGTTTTCAATCCTTCTTTAACCCCTCCTTCCTGCGACCCCGAAAAAGCAACAAATTCAGTGTCAGTCATTGCTTTCGACTTGACAGTAAATGACTTAATGGGGTTACAGCCCCAACTCGACTCGTCGTCGTCGTCATTGCCACTAAAAAGTAAAGGAAAGTCTGTCTTGCCGCATTAAATGTACACATATACACACATACATATATATATTTCTCATATATTGTATGTAAACACACAAAAAAAGGACTTTGATTGGGCAGAGGAAACTGCTAATTAGATGTGTTCTTAATGATCCCGAACATGGTTAAGTAATTTCAGTTAACATAGAAGTAATTTAAGCTTAGTTCTTGGAGCAAACATGGAGATAAATCTAGGAATTTATTATATTTTTAAACTTGGTTTAATTTTTTAAATTCCAGGAGCTGAAAAATCAAAGTTAATTGTCGATTCCTGAGTTCGGAATTTCCTATTCCAGAGAGCTTTTTATATCCCTGCAGGGTATTATAATTTTAGTCAAAACTTCGGCTCGCCGAAGCGTTCTTTCTTGTTTCTCGTTTTTACGGCTTAACCGCCGTAAAGGACACTCTGTTACCTTTCATCTATACTCCGCAGACTTGGCTGAGATTCATCGATGATTAATTTCTTCGATTGCCGAGATTCTTGGATATAAAAATTCTATTCTATAAAGCTACCTTAGCAGCGGGATAAGATCGCTCCTTGATGCCTTGATTAAGTTGATTGATTATACAGGTTATATTTGTGGATTTTAGTGGTTAGGTTACCATCCTAGGTAACCTCCAAGGGTATACAAACTTCGGCGTGCCGAATTTAGCTTGTTAAGTGTTGCAATTGTCTTAGTCCTTTCCGCGATAATCCCTATACCCAGTCGACGTCCCAGCACAATCTGGAGTGTCCTAGGGCCTGGTCGCCGTCAGGCTTCATTAATTGACCGCAACAGCTGCCGAACTGAACTTGAGTTTCCTTGGTAATTGGTCCCACTTCTTGTGCCGATTTTGATTCCGATTTCGAATCTGATTCTGATTCCGATTTCCCTCTGCCTTTGAAGGGGGCTCAGAAATGATCCATTTCTCGTTATTCCCAATGCACTGAAAAGAAATACCAAACATTTGGCTAAATTTAAGTGCATCAATCGTAAATACCAATAAAATGTCAAAGATATTGAGCTTGCGTTTTCGAATGCAAATGGGCTTTGTGGCTTTGCCCTGAATAAATCACACTCTGAAAAGAATAAAATGATGCTCTCTCGGTGGTGAGTTTTTCTGGCCGTGTTAGTTGTGGGCTGTGGGTAGTGGGCTCTGGCTCTTACATTGAGTGAGTGTGTGTGGCCAAGTCCGGATGTTGGCATATGGCTTGACGCTCGACGCTCGCTGTGAGTGGAAAAACGTTGCGCATACGGCCCGTGTGCCGGTGTATGCATCCGTGTGTGTGCTTAACTAATATGCTATGAACGTCGCTTTGACACGTTGCAATTGTCGCCATCGTTGTCGACGTTGTTGCTGTAGCTCCTGTTCCTGTTTCTGTTCCTGTTTCTGTTTCTGTTCTGGCCATTGTTGTCCTTATTGTTCGCTACATTTGTATGGTGATTCCACACACACACGCACACTCCACCTTGCTGCAGCTGGAGGAGCAATAAATGTTTGCTATAGCCAAATACGTGGGGGGCTCGGCAGCATTGTGCTTGGGAAATGGCAAAAAACAACAGCGGACCAAGTGGGACATCCTGGCGGAGCCAGCACCGAAGTGGAATATACACTCGAGGTGTGCATTTGCGTATTTAAGTGTATATGTGTGTATTTGGAGTGTGCTTCGGCGGCAGCTTCTTGGCTTTTCTGTGCCAAATATGGTTATTTACAGGGTTATTTAGTTGCAAGGTCGGAGTTTACACTTTCATTTTATTTTTTAGCTGCAAGTACTCCCCATTTATGGTCTAAATGTTTTAGCAAGTAATCCCGCATTTAACAACCACTTTTTGGCTTCGGTATTATATGCCCTTCTGGCCAATATGCACTGGCTAGCACACATATTGTTGGCTCGAATTGGATGCTTCATTTTCAGTGGCTATTGTTATGCCCTTTTTCGCAACATTTCCGTTAAAATGGCGTAAGGGGAGAGAGCAGGATGACCTCGGCCCCCTCAGAGCGCTTTGCCTGCGAGAATATAAAACCTGCTTAATTTCCATAAACCAACGGCAACGGTTACGAGGCTCGCACACGTGTCCTGCACCTGTCTGTGTGTGTGTCTGTTTGTCTTTTGTCCGTGTGAGTGTAAGACAGGTAAGTGAATTTATGTTGCACACGCTATGCGAAACATGCCACTGCATTTGCCCATAAAAATGTGGACGACGGAATCAGGAGCCGGAGCAAATAAGGAGCCGTGCCCCAGGGCTGGCAGCATCCCGGCATATCCTGGCTGGAATGTCACACTGGCTGGACACACACAAAACTTGCAGAGAAATATTATTTATTGAGGCAAGTCCCCTGCCGCCTACCCTATATCTGTGTGCGTTTGCGAGTGACCCTATCCCCCAATTCAACCAATTCACCTGCTACATTAAACCCAATTCCACTGCACTTTGGTCATTTTGGTTTGCCATTTCGGTTGGCCCCATTCGTGCACTGGGTGAATTGTAGAATGATTTAAGTTTTCTATATTTCTTTAAGAAGTATAAAAATATATACTTCATTTCAATAATTAGTTTTGACATTGTTAAATATTATTAAAAAACAAGAAAGGAAGCTAATTTCGGCATGCCGAAGTTTGTATACCCTTGCAAAATTCGGTAGCTCACCATAAAATAAAGCCATTTATTTAACAGGATATCCTATTTAATTCAAAAAATGCTAAGAAAATCTATGAAGAATGCATTAATCTAAATGAGAAAATATATTTCTCAGTGCATTATTCTCTCTTATTCCCGAATGTTTCGCTTGCTGCGTGCAGCGCATATAAATCGTTCAAATCGAGCGGGGAACGGGGTGCCAGGATATATATGGCAATGCACTGGTGGACTGGTGGACTTGAGAAGGAGCTGCCACGAAGGGAAATAAAACTTGATGCGACTTTCGCAACTTGCGAAATTAGAAAGAAACTGTGAGTTATCCCCTGGATATCATCATGAAGAACAATTCCGGAGCGGCACACAAAGGACGACGAGGCAGCCCTCTTTCTAAATCAAGTTTTGTTGGCAGCAGCCTTTCACTTATAATTTCCAATCAGTTCTGGCTGAGAGAGCTCCCTAAGCTTAAGTTTGGAGCTGAAATTACATTACATTGAGGCCGGGCCTAAAGTAGAGTTTTATATATGACACGAGTATAAGTGTGTGTGTCTGAGTATGTGGATATATCCTGCCCTGACCCACACAAGTCATTGATTTTTCGGGGCTCTCAATTGACTTGGTTTTCGATCCAATTTGTTGTCGTCCTTCAAGTTCGGCTCGCTCCTCCTCCCACAAGGCAGCACGTTCAAATTACTTTTTATTCTATATACTCTCCACTTTTCTTCTTTTT